AACCTTGAAAGGCCTCCTTCTTTTCTCCTCTTTATATTTAAGTTATATCGAATTTTTTGACATGATGCCCTTTACTTTACTTTAGTATTTTGTAAGTAAAGTTGTTTGACATTGTGGTGGAGGTTTTAACAATCTATCTGTTTAACAGAATGACTGTCGACATAAACAAACATGAGTCAGCTAGAGCTGAAGAAGCCTCCAGGATGAGAGGTGAAATATTTTCAGGAAACATAAGCAAATCCTTTTGCTGATGACTGATCCTGAACAACTAGTTTTATGATTCGCACACAGCCCAAAGCAATGCAGGCCTTACACAGAAATAGGTGCACTGAAACTTTCAGGAACAGATTAACCATTAAGCTTGGTGCTCCCCCTCATGGGGAGGAGTCTCTCTCTTTCTCTCTCTCTCTGGTCAGAATAAATGTTTTGATGTCAGGGACTGCCACGGTTGCATCGTTTGTTTTACTGCTGCCCTGATGGGAAAGAGACACAACATGAGATCGAGTTCAGGTACAGGATTCAAACCTTTGCAATAAGTCCATCTTTGTTTTTTCAACTATATGAGCTGTTTCGTTCATGTTGTCTTTAAAGTACAAATTATTATATTTCTATTTTTTATTATGTAAACTTGTTGAGTATTCCGTATGTCTTTGCCTTTATGTTCTCTTGTGCTCCATTCATTTATTTATCTAATGAAATACAGAGTAGAGGTTGACCACTTCACTTCTCTACCTTTTATAGTTTTATTTCAGCTAATGGCTTGGATTGTGTTCCCATATGTTAATTAAAAAAAAGTCTGTGAAAATATGACATTTTTAAATTGTGATCATTCAGAGATTTGAGCGTTCAGCTCTATGTCTTGTGTGGATCTGGAGGACTGCTGCGTCCTAGAACATTAAAGAGAGGATTTATGGGGGAAAGGCAAACAGTGATCCATTAGCCACAGCAAAGTGCCTGTGGTATAGGCTGTTGAGGAAAGGAGGCTGCTCGGCCACAGAGATGTAATGTGAGAGCTGGAAGTGTGCTGTTGAAGCTTTGTGTGCTGGTGGTTCGTTTTGATTCTGTCTCAAAGGAGCAAGGACATAATGTCACTGACGTGATGAAGCACATAGATAAGCAGTGTGAGAGGACAGTTTATTTAGTGTGTGAGATGAAAACATTTTCATGCTGAATGGGAGACAGGTTGACCGTGAGGATATATTTCAAAGGTTTGGTGAGACAACTTGGATTTTAGTTAAAAATGAATGAAAGTAAAAATGTCCACAAGTCAAAAAGGATTTTTTTTCAAGCACATTAAGTGACAGTAGGTTTTTTTTTCCCAAACAACAATTACACTTTGTTCATAATGGCATCAATGGGCCATATGGTCTGTATTTGTATAGAACTTTTCTAGTTTGATGACCCCTCAGAGCTCTCCACAGTTGCCATTCACACACACATTCACACAGTACAGCTATCCAGCCCTATCTCTATCAGGCATCACTCACTACAGCTGTCAGGGGCAACGTAGGGTCCAGTATCTAGCTAAAGGACAGAGGAGGAGACGGATCAAACTACCGACCGTCTGGTTAATGGACAACCCTCGACACCTCCAGAGCCACAGTGGGAAAAATGTTCCAGACTTTATTGTTATTTGTTATTTTATTATTTTCAGTGGCTATCACTTAATACCTGAGTGGATCAGAAGTAGAGCAGATCATCTACTAGGTGGTTTGACCTCTGACTCCCTCACTATGCATGTGTCCTTGCCCAAGGGCTATAGTGTCCTTGCTAAAGTACTATATCAATACAGTTTATTTATCTTAGTTGTCTTTACAAATAATCCTACTTCCCAATGTGGCCCTAGTAAGAACATCCTGTTATGACAAATTTTTATTCTGTATCGGCCATATTTTCATTTTTCATATTTGCAACTTTTTTCAATATGCTTGATTACCCTCCCCTGATAGAGAGGCCAAAGACTAAAGGTAATTATATGAAGTCAAACCCTGTTTTATGATGCCTCTGTTGATAGGGATATAGTCAGCAGATATGTTATCCAAGGCTCAGACAGCTATTTAACAGTTAGGTTGATGCCACACAGTTTAGAAGAGAGAACTACGCAGATATTCATAGAGCTGTAAGTTCAAATTCATTTACTATTATATGTTTGGTATGTGAGAGATTATGTATGGTCGGTGTTACTATCATGCATAGAATGATCTGTAGTGTTTGGTACCAGTGCAGATTGAAAATTATAATAGAAACAATATCACAGATTAAATATATATATACATATATGATATGAATTGAAATGTGTGGGTATGGTATTGTGCTGCTAAAGCCATTTACTTCATATGATTCTTGTTTTTTAAGGTTTGGTGGAAATCATCGGGTTGACAGAGTAAGTGAGCTTTTCATTTCATTGTTTGAACCAATGTTCACATATTTAAAAACACCATCATTATGAGTGTCAATATCAACATTGTATGGCTACTATGTGAAAAACACTGAAGAGAGTTGTAAATTTAGCCTGAAAAACAACATTCGGTTTATGTGTCCCAAAAACCAACACCATTTTATTTGACTATAGGCTTAACATTTTGCATTTTGCAGTAGAATAATCTTAAAGACTTTGGGCCTGAGATAAGGCCTGTAGTGCACAGATAAATACTGTTTTTATTATCATGATAATGGTGAGGTTGTGCAATTAATAGGCATAAAACATTGCAACGCAATTGTAATTTATGCAATTAATAGCCTTTAGTGACTGGAGGTTAATTGTCTCTCTTTTTTTTTTTAAAGGAAATTTACATTTAATCCTAAAGAGGGAATAGACAACCCAGTGATGGTCATCACAGATGATGCAGGTATCTAATGCAACATTTCTTACAATCTTCAGTGTATCCAAACATCTTCTCAGTATGAAAGCACATTTCTATCTCTTCCTGCTAAGACTCTGTGTCGACACCCAGCACACGGCTGTGTGTTCTCAAACGTGAGGAAGGGGAGTCCTATGGCTTTAATTTACGAGTGGAGAGGGGGCTCCAGGGTCACATCATCAGAAACGTGGTGGTAGGGGGAGTGGCAAGGTTCAGTGGCCTGGAAGATGGAGACAGACTTCTGGAAGTCAACAACTGCTATGTTGACGATGTTCCTCACCCTGAGGTAAGATGAGATTCTGTCCTGTCAAAAAGAAAGAAACTTCCTCTAAAAGAATCATAGCATTTATACTGGATCTGCTGTGTTTCCCTTTGTATGAATAAGGTGTCCAGGAAGATAAAGCTAAGCGGACACCAGTTGTGTTTACTAGTGTTGAATGGGGAGGAGTATGAGCGGGTTGTGTCACAAGGTCAAGATCTCCGCGGTCTGGCCAGAGCACACAAGGGCGAGGGCTGTAAACCACCCAGATTCTGCCACATCACCAGGGATCCTGCCTCAGGTCTGGGCATCAGCTTCTTACCCGTGGAAGGTAACGCTTTTGTGGTAATCACAGAAAGTCCAAGGTTCAAGATCGGATGTCTAACAAAACCTATACGTTGGAGTTCAAACAGTGTAATTCACCTGTTTCTGCACTGCAGGAGAGAAAGGGCACTTCTCAGTGAGCCTGGTGACAGGAGGTGCAGCTGAAAAGGCCGGAGTGTGTAAGGGAGATCGTCTGGTGTGGATGAATGGAGCGACAGTGTGCGACCTCACACACACTGCACTCAACAGGATGGTACGTAGTCAAACAGTTTTTTTCATATATATGTATATATTATGGAGATATATTTAACATAACTCACAACAGAAAAAAACCAACAAACACAACAACAAAATCACACTAAACAATCCAAAATCAGACCGATATGTTATCACAACCTTGTCAACAGGCCCAACAACCAACAACCTAATTAGGTTACATAAATTGCCTGAATTGTTTTTTTTGTTATTAAAATGTAATAGGTTTTGATATTTCTCTTAAAAATAAAAATGAGTTTAAATATTTGAACCTTGAATCAGATGTTTAAAATGAAAGCCATACTGCTCTTTTGCTGAATTACTCCAAGAAGGGTTACTCTTGGACTTAAAGCAATAAAAAGAAAGATTTTAAATCACCAAGGGGAATGTAAGACTGCAGTTGTAGGACAGATATTAACTCATTCCATTTGAAACAGGAATGATAGCTCAACCAAGTTCTCAGGGGATGTAGTTACTGGATTGTTTCCTGTAGTGAGTCATTTTAAATGAGAGAGGAAATAACATTACAATCAATAATTTGGCAGATGCTTTTATCCAAGGTGACTAACAACTGAGGGACAACACTAACACTTGAACACTCAGTGCTTAATCTGATCAATAAAACAAAGTGTAGGAGAAGTGAGTAGAAGAAAGTGCTCAGTCCTGTCTAATAATAATGTTTTTCTGTAGATGAAAAAATGTGGCAATCACATCACCATCCTGGTGATCGACAGTGAGAGTGAGAAGAGCCACATGCGGCAGAGGAGGCCCATCCTACCCACCATGGCTGTTCCACATAACCTGCCTTATAGAGCCAGGAAACTCCTCCTGGTCTCAGGGCCTGAGGGCTACGGCTTCCTCCTTAGGCTGGAGAGGGCGCCATCAGGACGCATGTGTAAGAGACTAAAAGAGCGCAAAGCTTAACCACAAAACATTCTTAGCATTGATGCTTTTTTAATGTATTTCATGGTATTTTTTGATCAACAGCTCATGTCCTGCGAGAGATGGACAAAGACAGTCCAGCAGAGAGGGCAGGTATGCAGGACGGAGAGCTGCTGCTGGAGATCAATGCTGAGTCGGTGGAGGCACTGACGCACGAAGAGGTTGTGGACAGAGTGAGACAGAGTGGACAGCAGGTTTCCCTCACCACCATCACTTCACAGGGGCTGGAGTTTTACACCAAGGTCGGCATTGCTAACCAACTGCATGTCTTTTCCTAAACTATATATTTAGGAGAAAGAGTACTGCAAAACTATACTTATGATACTCAGATAAAAAGAACTGTGATGGAACTAATACATTTAAAAACAGCTTTAGGCTACAAGATAAAGGGATTTGAAATAACAATGCATATACAGTGTTCCCATGACAATCAACTTGAGGCCAGATGATACATTTCATCTGTATGGACAGACACACCCTGTGCATATGACTGCAAAAATACACCTTCCTTCCTCAGAATATCTTTACCAGAATTAATCTTACAATAAGACAAGCCTAACCTATCACTTTTCATTGTGCTTAATTTAACTTGCATAAGACAATAAATCTTGAAACTTGAATTTGGGTGCATACCTCCACCAAGGTGTCATCTTATGAAACCACATTTAAATTCACTAGATTTGTATTTGGATGTGCACTAAATTGCACATGCTCATTAAATAATAGTTCCTGAGTTTTTCAACATGATCTATGAATTATTCTCTGAGAAATCAAGGAAAATCATGAGTTGAAAAACATCCTATCTAGCAATGTGAAAATGTGTTGTTCTCTGCACTAATGTTCTTCCCTAACCAATACTCCCTCCAAAGCTCAGGATATTCCGTCCATTCGTTTTTGTGGTGTCTCGCTTACAATGAAACAAACCATTCAACAAACAGACAGGGGTTAAAATATAACCTTCTTGATAAAATGTATAGTCACCATAATGGGTGTCCATAGACTTTTACAGATACTTGTGAGTTTCAGCTGGGCATCGCATTATAATACAGATCCTCACTTTGTCCAAGCCAATCAAAACAATTATTATGCATTCATATCCTAGAACAGAGAGCAGAGACTAAATTAACTGAAAATTGGAAGCTATATCTAATATAAAGAAATATCTCAACTGAATTTTCACTCAGGATTGGTGTGTCTTTTCTCTATTTTGTCTACAGTTGGGTCTGTCCCCTCTTCTCTTCTGTGAAGATGATGGAGTTGAGGAAGAAAAGGAGAGCAGTGTAGCAGCCTCTGAAGCAGAGCAGTCATCACAGAATGAAATGGAAGGCTTGTGCAAGCCCAGACTCTGTTCTCTCCTAAAAGGCCCTTTGGGGTTTGGCTTTAATCTGGGTTGTGTACTACACAGTCCAGGGACCTTCATCAGCAAGGTGGGTGATGAAATATTGTACCAGTAAAAATAACGTTGTTGCTGAGGCACCAAGGAAAATAATAGAGCAGTTGGAGATATTGTGTATTTTCTCAAATGCTTTCGATGATTATCTTTTTCTCCTGTAGGTGGTTTTCGGCGGCTCGGGGCAGAGCGCAGGACTAATCGAGGGAGATGTGGTGATTGAAGTGAATGGACAAAATGTGGAGGAGAAATATCTGGAGGATGTTATGATACTCATGAAGGATGGAGGCCATTTTCTTTCATTATTAGTCATGGAAAAGACAAGCTATAACAAGATGAAGCAGACTGACTCACCAGCCAATGACGTCACTGAGGTAAAAATATTATCTATTAAGTCTGTTAACACCTTTATCACTTTAACAAATACCACGATCTTTACTATATTATCTTATTTGTGACTCAGCAGGAGGAGGAAGACTTTGAGATATCATCTTTGTGAGCACTGAAGACACATGATTCTGAAGAAATTCTCACCATATATCTGCTCAGAAAGAAAACTACTACTCTTCAGAAAATGAACACTGGATATGTAAAGTATTGATAATAAATGGGCTAAAACATTGTCATGGCCCTTGAATATGTACATTTTGTGTTGATTGCATTGTTGTGAATGGAAGAGGAAGGTTATGTTTTATGTGTACCATGTATTATGTATAAAAAAGAAATTAAATGTTTATCGTTGATCCCAACTATCTGTTGTTGAGATTTTTCCCATGACATGTTCCCTGTTTCTAAATATATTCAGTGTGTTACCTTGAACAGCCAAAAATGACAAAGCCTAATACTTAAAACACATAAATGGAAAATGTATTAAAACATAACATGATACAAGATTCTAGATAAAGATCAGAATCAGAATCAGAAGTACTTTATTAATCCCCGTAGGGAAATTCAAACGTCACAGAGCTCCTGAGAAAGATGTGAAATAGCATATGCAGGTATAAACATAATAATATAAAAGTCACGTAAAACTAAAATGAAACGAAAGATATACATATGTAGAAATAAAAACTGGGTGTGTATAGATTTACATTTGTACATGAATGTAAGTTAAAGTATACACAATATAAGCTTATTTACAGGTTGTCATTATACAATTTGACAGCCACAGGCAGGAATGATTTCCTGTGGCGTTCTGTCGAGCAGTGTGGGTGAATGAGTCTGCCACTGAACGAGCTGCAGAGGCTAATCAAGACATTATGGAGAGGGTGTGACTGAAAGTCCAATATTGTCCTTACTTTGGACAAAGCTGATAAAGTGGTAATGTGCATGATGATGTCTGTGTGTTATGTAACCACTTTTTGAATATTTATTGCATCTGTTATCTGATGGGGGGGGATCTGATGATCATGCCCTGGGGTGACATGTACCTTCTCCAATCTTTGCAAAGTGAGCTGGTTAGTACTTTTATCCACTTGCCAGTTATCTGCACTGGAAAGCTGTAAGCCCAGAATGGTTCTCATAAATCAAATAGACAATGATTAAACATGAATTAAAATTTTAATATCGCTCCTTCATCAAATAAAGGGCAAGGCATGTTTATTTGTATAATATAATTCAACAACTGGGCAATTCAATGTGCTTTACATAAAATATGAAAGGCATCATGACAAATTTTAAAAGCAACAAACGCCTGCATGTCTTCTGTCTCCAAAAGCAATTAAATTCCAACTCATCCAATTGTTGATTTTTTCAATACACTTGGTCAGTTCTTGTTTTATTGTCCCCTGGTGGTATGCTTATATAAATCTGTGTGTCAGTAACATATTTTGATGTTTTCCATTATCTGAATGGAAGCATGTAGATGTTAAACGGAAGTGGCCCCAAAATAGAGCCTTGAGGAGTTCCACGCTATATTTGTATATTTAGATGGGGACTCACCTATAGACACAAAACAATCCCAGTCATTTAGAGATTCTGTGCCAAAAAGTCTTACCCAGTTTTCCAGTCGGTCTCGTAATATACTGTGGTTGACTTTGTCAAAAACATCCAAATCCAAAATCCAAATGTATCAGATTAATAATCCTGTAAATATGTCTGCTTCACTCCTCTGCGGAGCGTTTAGGGCACAAATGTAGTTGGTGCATCAACTCAAATTCCTTATCATCTGAGTTGTGTAAAACTGAAAGTGTAAAGTTAAACATTGTAGGGAAAGTGAGAAAACGCGTCGTGTAAACATAACATTATATATATTAACACACTTTAATTCTATAAGAAGCGACTACCTCGGCTGTTTGTGTTCAGGCACTTGTGCGGTCAGCTGTCGCCAGGGGTCCTTCTACTGGAGGTGACATTCGTTCGGCTAGCAGGAACAGGGGAAGCGGTTAGCATCGACAAACACTTCAACATGGCGCAGGCAGTGCAAAAGCTGGTGGCTAAAGTTCCTACTCTGCTCGGCGGTAAGTCTCTGTACGGTGTTATCATATACAAATATAAAGTGTTGTATAGAACGAGGAACTAAGACCTAGTTAGTGTTTTATTTATTGACAAGACGTAGCGAGGCCGTGACCTAGCTGTCGATTCAATGAAGTGGACGTCACGCGAGCTAATGCTGCCCGGATGAACATTTAAAATGTAGCTCTTAGCAGACTAGATTGATCTGTAGCTAGCTAGCAGGGATTGTTTATACTGTTTACACACATTGAACCCATTAGCCATTTAGCTATGCAGCTAATGCTAGCAATCAGCGTGTAGTACAGTGCTCCAGCTCGAAGCTAACGTCAGTCTGAGTGTGGCTGCAGACCAGAGGCGTGCAGTGATCACTGTGTTTCTCCTCTCCTTCTAGCCGCTGTCACCTATTCCAAACCCCGGCTAGCAACCTTCTGGCACTATGCTCGTGTTGAACTTGTCCCCCCGTCCCCTGCCGAGATCCCCAAGGCCATCGAGGGAGCCACCAACCTCATCAAGGGTTTCCAAACAGGACGTCTGGGTCAGACCACAGTCAGGGTATGTGTTATTCACTGACAAGCTGTGTGTGTGTGTGTGTGTGTGTGATTGCAGATATGTTTTTTTAAAATCAATTAACAGGTGTCACAACAATCCATGTGTACAGTATTTTCTATCCGCACCAGTGATGACATACACCATCAGAAATACTAATACAAGTATCCAATAGGTAGTTTGTATATGTTATATGCTAGTTAGGTTTAGACCTGGTTCTCAAGTCGTTTGTGTTTGTTGACAGAACTTTTTGTTGTATTAAAACACATGGGTACACAATGTACTATAATGTTCTAGGAGTTTTAGATCAGTACTCCAGTGGATGTTCTATCAACAGAAAGTCATCTTGATTCTATCAGCAATGAAGAAAGTCACCGTAGTTTTACTTGCAGGTCTCTTCACCACAGTGAAGCATTATTAACATGAATAAATAGTAATTTATCAGTTTGGCCAGGAGACATTTGGGATCATGAGACATGGTTTTGAATCTCTGGCTAGTTGTTGAATCATTGCATTCTTTAAAAATCCAGGTAAAACAAAGAATAATACATTTTTCATAGTTAGTCTCTGCTGTACAAAATAAAAACCATGAAAGTGATCCACATTTAAATTATGCCAGTAATATTGTCATTAGTGGCAAATATTCCTTTTTTCCAGAAGCTAATCAAATGAAATTGTTTCCTCACAGGATGCTATGAGGAATGGACTGGTGGCCACTGAGGTGTTGATGTGGTTCTACATCGGAGAGTGCATCGGCAAAGGAGGCCTCATTGGTTATAATGTCTGAACTGTGGACTGTCATGCTTTTCTTCTCTTGAGCGTTGTATGTTCAACTTCCTTCAAGACACCCGGGATCTAATAAACAAATGTCTATTGTTAAAAAAGTACACTGACTCCTTGCTTTTTCTGTGTCATGGGTTATTGTGTTTTGGTTATATATTAACTGCAGGTTTACTACAGACTTTCGTTTTCATATAGCATGCAAGTATTTGATTCATGCCAGCACACAAAAAAATAAAATAAAATAATTAAGGTATGAAGGACTATATCCTCCCAGAATGCTCCCTGTTTTATTTGATCATATCCAGCAGGATAGAACATTGTCACAGAGGAATTTGTCCCAAGTAACTGGGAATAGAGCAAGTGTAAATGATCTGCTGTGTGAATTTCATTTTACTGCATCAGTTTGATGGGGTTAGTGGTATGCGTACTTGTTCACTATCAGAGGAGTCAGAAGTCATTAATGTTATTAGTAAAAGTTGCTCTTACTATGATGATTTAGAATCTCTACTGTGAAAAAGTCCTGATGGTTAATGTTATTACTGTTTGATAAACTTCCTTAATAACATCAGTAACAAGAAAATGTATCTGAGAAAATTCAGATTTATGAACTGAGTGACGTCACTCTTTATTTGACTCTTGGTCATTATCTCAGTATTTCCCTCCTAACTTGAATTTGAACTTTGATTTATAATATCTTTACACCCAGAGATAAATATACAAAGTTTCCATTGGTGATATTTCTGTCAGCCTGAAAATACACAAAGCCATAACAACAGTCATTATAGTTTAATATCAGTTCAGTTCCAGCAATGACCCAACAGAGGGAGCCACTAGTCATATATTCTAGTACAGGACTCTCAGAGCAGGTGGCTGCCACATACATGGTTCACATACCAGTTACATTTTAAATTTCAATTGTATCTGTTTGTACTAATATTTTTTTAGACTTTCTTGACCTTTGTTAAAACAAACAATAAAAGAAAACATATTCCTAATATATATTCATATCAAACTGACCCATCATTTCTTTTTCAATAGGAAATAACATTTAGTCATATAGATATAACACTATTTGGTCTACTCTTTGTATGCATATGTCAGAACAGATAAATAATCTTGAAAACAAAACAATGTATTCATTCACTTAGCTCTTTATTTTGAACTTTAAATGAATCATTTTGTTACAAAACAAGTCTTTTCTGGATAACAGTTATAATCCGGTTGGCCATTATATAAGTAAACATATGTAAATTTAAATAAGGGTTAGTTCAAGTGAAAAAAACTGTAAGGACTCAGCAACTGATAGACAGATAATATCAAAATATAATGAAATGACACTGAAATATTCAGAATGTACTGAAAACATAATACCTGTAAATGCAGCAATGTAAACATTATACAAGCTGCAATGTATTTGAATGTATTTTACAATAATATTGGGCAACAGAGTAATGATACATAAGAAAATGTTCCTTGGGTGATCTCAAGGGTATGATGAGTTATAATAACATCATTATTTTCAACATGTCATACCTTCTGTGAAAACTATAACTCTAAAATCTAAAACTAATAATGTATGATATTATATTATCTGTGGACATATAATGTATACTGACATGTTATAATATTATTAACAGTTTTTATCAGATGCTAAATGGAATAACACTTTTCTTTATATTGTATTGTACTTGTATTATTAGGTAATATTTCAGTAAGGTCATAGAAAACTAACATGAAAATGAGATTTGACAGCAGAATGCAAAATATAATATATGGGGTTAAAAATATATACACATTTGAAAGGATGTTTCTCTAATAAATGTGTGATAAAGCTCATTTGATGTGGTTTGGTACAACTTTAATACTTAGCGAAATAATATATACTCCAAAAGCTTTGTAGCTGTGTAGTGTTAGAAACAAATACAGTAGAAAATATTTTCAAATGTCGGTGATCACTTGA